CCAGCTGTTAGGCTCAGCAAGTATTTGATTCTTATTTCTAGTTTAAGATGGGAGGTACAGGCCCCCAAAAAGTTCATGGGGAGCTGCATGTGGTGGTGCATGCTTGTAATTCCAGCATTTGGGAAGCTGATGCAGGAGGATCTGAAGTTTGAGGCCAGTGTGGGCTACATGGCAAGTTCAAGTCCAAGATGGGGTACGTAGACCCTATCTCAAAAAAAAAAAAAAAAAGATCTCAGTGTCCCTAAGTTGAGGTGACCAGCCAGAGAAGACTTGGATTTATACCCCAGTACTCTACCCTAGAAGGACTCAGCCCTATCATTTCTTCCCTCACTTCAAGAATCAGTACGCTTGTGAGAGTACATGGACCCGTAGACAGCTTTGATCCAGTGCTGGGACACATGGGATGCTTGGCCAGGGCCCATTGGATGGAAAAGCTGAAGAGACGGCTTCTGGGGCTCAAGACTGTGTGTGTGGCTAAGTTTACTGCAAGGGCAGGCAGGGCCCTCAGGTGTCACCTAGGGAAGTTTCTGAGATTTTCCCTGGGGTTCCAGTCTTTTCCCCCAGGCTTATCACTAACCAGTTCATCCTCACTTGCCAATCTCCCTTTGACCTCCTCTCCTCTTCCAGGAGAGAGAAGAGTACCTGCAGGATAACCACCTAGACATCAGGCATCTCAACACCTTTATTAAATTGCCTTCCCGAGGCCAAGGGTTCCCTGATGCAAGCATCTCATCTTCCTCTTCCCTAGTACCCAGCACACTGCCTGCAATGCAGGAAATGGTTGCTGAAAGAAGCAATGAATTACATTTTAGCATTCATCAAGTACTTAGTCTGTAAGTGGTTAAGTGTCAATTCCTGGCACTTCACTCACTTTCTCTTACAAGATTCTCGGAGCTGCCAGGTGCCATGGAAGCCATAGGTGAGAAAACTGAGGTGTGGGGCCGTTAATGGATTTGCTCAAGGCCACACAGTGGCAGCTCCCAGTCTGTCAGTGGCTAAGGCGGGTAAAGGGGCAGCTTGATGAATTGGGGCTATTATTGGCCTAGGGGTAATTGTCAGTCAGAAATGACTGGCTCAGATGATTAGGTGTGAAAAAGAAACCAGTTAGAGCTCCACTAAATTGCCCAGAAGAGTATAGCCTCCGTGACTCCTTGGAACCAAGGGCTGGTTCCCACCCTGAGGTGTACACCCAGCTCTTTTTTGGCTGGTTCTAGCACAAAGAAAAGTGCCAGCTCAACTCTGCCGCTGAGACTCTTCAGAATGCCTGAATCTCTTAAAGAGGAGCCCTCCAGCGCTCTCATCACTGCGGTTCCAGGGGGCGCTTTCCCTCTAGCAAAGCCTACTTGCCGGTTTTTTTGGCAGGGTGGGCATGCCAGTTGTGCTAAAGGCTTGTTTACTTGTGAGCCCCATTATTGCATTGTGGGTCTTGGACAGCCAAAGGCTGGTGGCATCCCCTGCTTCCTGCCTGCTGGAGACAGCCGACCTCCACGAAGAGATGGAGTTTAGCTAGCTCAGCACTGACACTGCAGGGCAACACTCAAAGTGGCCTTTTTCCCTGGTGGGCTCTGATCAACAGAGGGCCAGGTAAAAGCTCCACTGGGGCAACAACTACGCAGGTTTACGAAGCCCTGGGAGGAATGGGAATCACGTGGCCCTCGAGGGCGGCGCCCTCAGCTGAGATGGAGTGAACTTCAAAGGTAATCACAGGAGGCTTTCTGGAGGAGGCGGAAAAATTTATGGCGGTCCATTGTGGCTTCTTTCAACAGCGAGGATGAGCTTAGCGCTCTAGGGACCAAGTAGCTCCAGAGGTGAGCTTCTTGCTGGGGAGCAAAGCCAAGAGGCCACGGGGTTCCGGCTGGGAGAAGAGCCGGGGGCCGGGGGCTTGTGTCTCGGGATCAGACCCGACTTGTGTTCCCCGACCTGTCCTTCCACAGTTTTTCAGGAATGGACGCGCCATGACCACGCGAGGTCGGTGCTGCGGGGCCCGGTCCTGGGTGCAGGCCATGAGGTCCCGGGAGCCCACAGCAGGGCGCCCCGGGCCGGGGGTTGCGCCTGCAGGGCTGGCGGGGCCTCCTCGTCCAGTTCCGCCGGGGTGCAGATGCCTGTCCCGCAAGGGCGAAGCGCGCGCTTCCCGGGGAGCCAGACCGCAGAGCCGGCGGCCTGCGCGGGGCTGCGGTGGCACGAGAGGGCCATCTGCCTCGGTGCGGAGAACTGCAGCGTCCGCGGTGCGAGGCGCGGCCCCTCCCGGCCCCCAGCCCGGCGCGCACGCACCTACCCACGCCGCCAGCGCCGGCGGCCCGAGCCCCAGTGCCAGGCCCAGACCCAGACTGGGCGCGGGAGGCGGCGCAGGGATTAGTGCACCCCTCCCCCGGGCTCTCCCCGCCGCTGCGCCCGAGGCAGCGAGGACCCCTGGGCCCCGGGGGTGGCTCGGGAGCTTCGTCCCGGCGGTGCCGGGTGGAGACTCGGCCTCGCCAGCGGGGGCCGCACGGCTGCAGGCCGAGGTGCGGGCGCGCTGTTAGCTGCCGTCCGCCTGGGTCCGGGGGTGGGCTCGGCGCTGAGGTCGCAGGGCCTCTTCCCTCGGCAGAGGCCACGGCCGGGCGGCAGTGCCCGGGCGGGTAACCCGACCCGGCTCCCCCGGCCGCTCACCCCGCACGGCCGGGCAGGGGGAGGAGAGGACGGGGGAGGGGGAAGAAGTGGGGCGGTGGGTGAGGGGTGAGGAGACCCCTGGGCCGAGCGCCCGGCCCGTCTGCGCCGCCTGAGGGCGGCTTCCCGCGGCCCCCGGGAGGAGCCGGCCCCCTGCCTCGCGGGCGTCGAGCCTGCGGCAGGAGGGAGCCCTGGGGCTGCACAGGCTTGGCTCGGGGAGGCAGACCCGAGATGCTGCCTCCATTTTGTTTCCTGCTTAGCTAGGTCTGTGGTAGTGGTGGTGTGGCTTTGGGGTGCGGCCGAGCAGGGGGTTCACCTGCCGCTGCGCCTGCTCGGGGTCTGAGGCCTCGAAGACCCCAGCCCCAGCCTCCAGGTGAGCCCTACGGCAGGGAGAGGTTTGCCTTGGCCTCGGGCCGAGACGAGCGGGCCTCGGGCAGGTGCCCAGTGGATGGGGAGCCTGGGCTGTAACCTAAGATGGAGGCCGGGACTGACGCGGGCCCGAGCAGGGCGGTCGGACGGGCCTCGGCCTGGCCAGGTGCCGCTGGGGTTGGGGTTCGAGACGGGTAGGGTGCGGCAGCCGCGTGCAGCCCCAGGGACTACGCTGCGCCCCGAGGTAGGTGAGGGGATTGGAATGCCACCCACGACGCCCGCAGGCCCGGACCGTCAGAGCCGCGCGAGGCCCCTGGGGAGCTCGCCTCAGGCCCCGCCCGGGCAGTCGGGCCGCCCGTAGGCCCGGGCCGCC